GCACCCCTGCAATAACACTGCCACTACCATCCCCAATCTGAGAAACACTGTCTAAAATAATGAAACATCTGCGAACCAGCCCTTGTTTATATAAAAGCAAGACTTCTTGTTCGCCTTGAGCAGTTCAAGCTGCAAAAACCCAGCATCGGAGGCTCACTTTATGTGATTATTCAGTAAGGCTTTGCTGAAGGTGTGACAGATGTTCCAGTGTGGCTTAAATTGCCTTTTGATTGTGTGCAATAGTGCAGAACAGATGAAGACTTAACGATATCAGGCAGATCATGTTAACAATAACCTTTCATTGAATTGGGTCATGCTTTCAAAACTCAATGAAGGAAAATTTTCCGAAACAATTTGGTGGCAAAGACATGGATAATGAAAACAGAGCTGTGACAAAGAGTCTATTTTAAAGAAAGATCATCCGTCCATGAAAGAGAAGCAACTTTGTAATATACATCATTCATAATTTAGGATTTTTTGGGACAAAAACAAATCAAGCATGATCACAGTACTATGTTGTCTTAGAACACACAGAGAGATACATGTTTCCCTGTACGAAACACTGACATGAATCATGGTTAAAATCAGGTTTGCTTTTCAATAATTAATTAAAGTTAAAACATTTTTAGATAAACTAGTGAAGCTAAATTAAAGTAAGCTACTTTTTACACAAAGGAGAAGAAAAAAACATATAGTTTGACATGGATTTTATTTTTTTTTATCTTGATGAATTTGGAATGAGGTCAAATTGGTTTTAATATGATTTAGAACAACTCTAATGTGTCAAAGGCAGGAAAGAAGGATCCAATATTTAGGCAGTGGCATAATTCAAAGCGTTTTATTAAACACAGATTACAAAAGCAGTCTGTGAACATGCAGCGGCTGCAGGGGGTCACCGCCAATCACTGGAAACTCTGGTTAAACAGTTCAGTCCAGTGTCCAAAGAACGGGGATGGCGGGTGCTGCTAGAGGGTTTCAGACGTGGAAGGCTGCAGAGCTGATAGGAGACCGAAGACAAGCAGGCAAAACTATCAAGACAGGGGGCAGGCAGGTTCAAAGGTCAAAATGCAGAAATGGGTCAGGATAAGATAGTAAGAACATATGATTTGATTTGCTTAAATAGAAATCAATAAATGTCAGTTAATTGATTCTTAACCTTTTGTGATTATTATAATTAGCTGGCCAACTAGGGAGGACTCATCTTAAAGGACTCTGGTCATATTTTGTTACTCAAATGTGATGAGTATCTGAGGAACACAAACGTTGCCATTATATTAGTGTTTAAACCCTTAGTGAAATAAAGCTTTTTTTTTTAGCTTTATAAACAACAGCTCACAACATGTCAGCATGGCGTACCATGCAGCCAAACTTGTTAGCTTGTCTAAAACAACAGCAACCATACAAAATCATCAACAACCACTAAAAACCCAAATTGTTTAGCCAGAATCACTTTCTGTAACTTTGCCAGACCTGTACCTCCTGCTGATCTTCATTTGGAAAAAGCTGAGTTGTCTCTAGTATTCAGCGGCTTAGAAAGTCAGGCTTGCAGCAGGAGTTTTTTTGTTCTCATGTACCCCACTTCTCTGATCTCTGGTACCTCAAAGTTCCTGAAAACTCAGAGAAATTGCTGAGTCTGCTCAGTCAACAGTTTGCTTTTGCAGCAATTTGGTTCAGAAGTTAGCCAACAGTTACACTTACCATTTGATCAGTCTGCAGATTTTGGTCCTTGGCTTGTGGCCTTCCATGATGGTGAACCTCAGAATGGTTTAACGGCAAAAAAGTGATGCAGCTGCTTTGTCCCAAAACTCAAAGGGGGCCAGGATTATATGTCTCTGTTAGAATGACTTGTGAGAGGGGCTTTGCAAAAGTTGGAAATTGCATCTTCCTCATCGAATTATCAAGTATAAGATCTGCATGGATATTTGTTCCTAGTGTCCAAAATCAATATCATGGGTTATGGCCAAAAACCTGTATTCAAATATCAAGTGTAAAATCTATGAGGATTACAGAACATTATTCAGTGCTAAATATACGCAAAGCTGTAGCTTATCCATAAACAACTGACCAAAACATCCTTAGTGTATGAGTATGCTTGTGTATATAGGGTCTACAGGTCTCCTTCAGCAGGGACATATACTCAATATCAGGTGCTAGGGGATCCAGATTCATTTCAAAGAACCAAGAGCCAACACAACAATGGTCATAGCCCTAGATTTCCAAAGTTACCCCGGAGAACAGGGGCAAAGGTAGGGCAGCACCCACCTAAGATGGGCAGACAAATCCCCAGGGTCCAGACCCCAGCAATGGTTCTAAAACAGAGAGTGTTTACATTGTGAAGTGTTATTTAAAGAGTTTGTCCCGAGTGGTCTCTTCTCAGGAAATAATCAGGGAGAGAAAGCTTAAAGGTGAACACAGAGTTTTCCTTTACAGCAGAGGTGGGCAATTCCAGTTCCTGAGGGCCGCTATCCTGCAACTTTTAGATGTGTCTTTGGTTCAGCACACCTGAATCAAATAATTAGATGATTGAGAGGACTCTGGAGGAAGTGACTGTGTCGTGGAAACTGTCCTCCCAACGACTTAAAATTGATGCTAAGTCTTATAAAAATTCAAAGTTCTTAAAAAGCAGTAGAAAAGTCTTCAGACAATGTTAAAAAATTAGGCAGAGGCAACTGGGTCCAGGTCCGGAGAGTTTTATTTACAGAACACACATGAGCTGTCCACCGGTGAGCAACTGACTTACATGCAGAAAAAGGCCCTCTTTTATTCACTCCCGGGGCTTGGGGCTCTTTCATCTTGGTGGAAGACCCACCTCCAAACCATATTTTATATTTTTAATTGAAACCTTTCTTTAATCTATCAAAGCTTTTTCTTCACAAGTCATGGTGACATTTCTTGTAGATCATGATTACAATTAGTGCAGTTAAATCAAAAACACATCATAGTCTTAATCATCAATATGTCAAAACAATGTTTTCATCCAGTGTGACTTATGATCATAACATTACATCAAAAAAAGGTCAGCATAATTTTAAAACTCAAAGTCCCAGTAAAACATCACCTTTTGTGTGACCAGTACCGCACCGCATGCTTTGGAGATGACAACTCAATATATTACAATTAGTTCAGCTGAGCTGTGCAACCCTGAACAACCCATTCTCAATGTGTCTGTCTTACAAACAGGTCTCATTTCTGCACCCTGTTTTTATCAAAGCCTGAAATGGCCTTGGACTCCTTTCAATGTTTCTGTTCCCCGCTTATTCTCGGTGTTTCCCCACCCTGGTCTTATCTCTCAAACTTCAAGGCTGCACTCAAAGCTGCAGCTGCAGAGAGCTTACACACACACTGCTCTCTATCTCTCCACATTTGATGGAGCACACTCTTTTGGACTCTTTGACCTGTATAACATAAATGTATTTAGTGTAAAACATTTATTCAATATGTAAACATGTATCCAATATATTCTAATCATTGGTGCAGATTAATTTACTACATCAACTGCATACTAAGGAGGTAACCGAGCCATTTAATTCAGGTGTGTTGGAGCAAGGATGGATCTAAAAGTTGCAGGATTCCGGCCCCCAGGAACTGGAATTGCCCACCCCTGCTTTACAGCAACCAGCCCACAGGCTCCACTGGCAGCTGTTCATGTCCAAAGCAGACTCAAGCGTGGGCCCCGATACCTGAGCCCAAGGGGTGCACCAACCCCAGAGACCCAAGGGGGGGCAGGCCCAGCCCACCACACACCTAGAACCCAACAAAGCATCCAGCATCACACGAAGAGAAACACCAATGCACCAATAGACAGCGGGACCAGTTACCTGCAAAGAGCATAAGGAGAGTTTGTATTCTAAGCGTAGGAGTATATTTTCATTCACAATTATCAGATTTGAGCCTGTATTTTTATTTTTTATTCATAATTTCTTTTTAATTGTTATTTGAACACACATGCCTTAAGTTATACAGAAAAGGTAAATTACATATTACAAAAAAATTACAAATCCAGCATTACAGGCAAGGTACTACAAGACAAATATCTCTCCATACATATCAGTAATTCAATTTTCATAAAAGATAGTAACTGATCAAGAAACCCAGGGTGTAAAGTCAGTGAAACTGGTTTATTTTAAATTCATTATACAAATATAATAATGCAGAGCAATTTTAACTCATTAAGCTCTAATATTGTCATCAATAGGTTAACAGTAACACCAAAGAGAATATTTTTATATTACAGAGAACATAAAAAAGGACAGTAAAAAAAATGGAAGAAACAAAAAATCTAATTGTTAGATACAGTTAGAATCTTTTAAAATATATTTCACAATATTGACAAGACAAGTTTAACTCTATGGTATCTCTCAGTGTATTTTCCAGATGCAGAAACAATCTACATGAATTTATTAACTTCTTTAGCATTTTTTTATTGCCGCTTTTTCACTCACTTAAATCATGATAAGCTGTGAGTCAGTCCTACAAAGTTAGATAAGATAAGATAAACTTTTATGTTGCACAAAGGGAAATTTGTCTCGGCCACAGCAGTATACAGTTATAGCTGCAAATATAAAATAACAGACACAACACTAAAACAACAACAGATGAATTAAATGTTAATTTCCTTTCAAGCCATTTAAAAACAGGGTATCGCATGGTAAGGAGATGTAAGTCCTACACATTTCATCTAATTTTAATATTGATACCCTCTGTGGGAGGTGTTTCTCCATTTTTAGTTAAATCTTAGAATTTAGATTATTTACTTTGATACTTTAATTTATACTTTAGAATATAAATAGGTAGGTCTTTGGTAGCTCATTATGCACGTAGGTGGTCACATGTTTTTTTTTTTTTTACCAGTTCTCAGTTTTCAGCCAGTCAATCAATCAGTCAATCAATCAAAGAACAGGTGCAGGACTCAGAGTGAGAGCAATAGAAAAATCCTGGGAAGCCTGTAACCTGTTTGTCTGTACGGAGAATAAAGCACGCAAAGAACTGGATTTTTACCCTTTTTTTTTTAAATCTTTTTTTGGACTATGTAAGCCAAAATCCACAGTGCATCAAGTGGCTATTTGAGTTGAATTCACCTTTTGTTTTGATCACCTTTAAGTCTTATTTTTTATTTTATTTTTATTTTAGTTTTGTACAAATAGTCACTACATCTTCAAATGAAAGATGAAATTCTAGACTTTAAACAGGCACTGCAGAGTTTTCCAATAATACTGCCACCTGTGGCCAAAAAACAGAACTGCAGCACTCTTCTGCTCGTTCTTGTACTTTTTTCACCTTACCTAGAGTTTTTATCAGTGTCTGAGTTGAGCTGGGTGCTGGTCACTTCTTATTATTCACAAAACCCATCATGAAAATAACGCTTTGTTTGCTAGGGTTAACCCATTCAACTTGAAGTCACATCCTCCAAACTTCCAACCCAATGTAAATTTAGTCAAATAGGCTACAGGCTTAGAGATGCAGAACTGCTGAGGTGTCAGTCTGCTGATCAGCTGGTTTTAGTTGTAAAGGGTAAAATAAAAAGGCTATTATATATATCAAAAAGATATTTTTCTGTACAAAACTTACATAATGTCTCTATAAGTCTATAGCCACAGCACAACTAAAACTTGAATTAGGAAATAGAATGTTTCAGTATTCAAATACACGGGAAATTACCATCTTTCCATAAAAATTGTTAATGACCCAGATTGTGGTCTAAAAATTTTAACTGGTACCATCTTCCCTTATTTGGCTTATGATTACTTTATACACCTAAAAAATATATGAACTGGATAAAAAATAAAAACAAAAACAAGAGACTGCCTTTTTAAACTAGAGACTACGGCTGTATGCAATTCATTTAAATCTAGATCAATCTTTTTTTCTCTTTAAATCCTTGCTTTAATCCTTGCTGAGTGTTTTGGAATCTCTTATCAATTACTACATAAAAGTATCCTAAATTAATGAAATATCTATCATTGGCATCTGGATTGTGGAGTTTTTTTTCTCTTTTGGTTTTGTACAAAAAAAAAACATGTCATGGAAATTAAATTGTGTGCTTTTATCCTTTGTATGTGCATCATATGAACTGCCTGCAACATATCTTAAGCCTTATTTAGTTTGTTTAGCTTAGACATTTAGCTTTATAGCCATCAACTACTTATTATTTTGTTACTTGTTGCATTTAGTGGAAATGCATCACATTTATGTAAATCCATGCAGTTCCCCTTAAACTGGACAGAACATAGCAAAGTTGTTTTTTTCATAGATGTAGAAACCTGGGTAAAGTGCTTCAGTGAATCTCTTCTCAAAGGTAAACAGATGGGTCAATGTGTCAGAGGAGACTGTGTAGAAAGACAAAGTGCCTGCTGGCCAATCCAAATACACCCCAATTTTGTTGCATCCAGTAGGAAGACTCAATTGCTCATCCTTCCTAAAACCATGCCATGCACGGAGCACGTTGTCATTGACTCCAAAGTACCAGGAAACATCATTATACCCAAATCCAGTAGACTTACGATTTCCTTTCCTTGGATTGCTTTCATATGCAAGGCCTATGCCGAGATCTTTATTCTTTTCACTGCTCCACTTTACTTCAAAGTAATGACAGCCTCTTAGACCTTCCCGGCACAAAACTTGGGGATACCAATCAAATCTTTTCTCTGTTTTGGGATATTTTTCCCAGGATCCACTCGTTGCCTTCTTGTCTCCAGCAGAGAGAGTGAGGTAGCCATTCACAGTTTCTGGGTCCAAGGTGAGATCACAGGAGTCTGTGGGATACATATAGTCTGTTAATGCTTATCTTATTGACTCAACAGAAAAGGCAGATTTCTCACTTATTGAATATTCAAATTAATGTATATGATGTTTTTGTGCAAATGTACAGGATATTTCAGTGCAAAATTACTAAGGTTTAGCGTATGGTTTGATTTATGGTCATTTGAAGTTTTAGATAAAAACATTTGGACTTACACCACATTAGATCTTGTTTATCCGTTACATTTCTCACTCGAAGAATGGCAGGTTTTGCAAAGTCTTTGGTTTTCAAAACGCCTTTACTGTAATGGTAGATAGTTGCTCCTTTCAACCCCTGATTTGGCAGTGCTGTTACAAGAAAATGAAATCTGCCGCTGCTCCTAAGGCCTTTAGCTGTTTCTGCAATCATGTTTGCTTTCTCTTTGATGTTTTCTAAGACCTCATCTGAGAAGAACCACTGGTCTTTGGCAGGTGGAGTAACAAAGTTTTGAGTTTTTTTTAAATAACTGGCCATCTGGTCCATGTAGGCGTCACTCATTTCAATCGAGGTAAAAACAAAGCAGAGGGCATTTTCTACACTCAATACTTCTCTATCTAAGTCTGACTTCTCTGGGATGATCTTGATTCCCTTCATTATGTCCAAACAGGAGGCAATGACGTTGATTTCTCTGTCTAAATTATCAAGCCATATGTTTAAGTTTTTCTTGTTGAAGGGAGAGTTTTCCTGCTGATCTACGAAGTTTTCTAATGATTCCTCTTCTTCTTCTTCTTCTTCCCCTTCACGAATAAGGAGAATTTTCTCCTGCATGGTCTGTTGGACGGTTTTCATGTAATCTGCACAGAGATCCTGGAAAGATTTTAACGTTCTCTGAATCTGTGGAAATATCTTAATTTCTTCTCTTTCTTGAATTTCATTGCATCGCATTTGTATTTCTCTGATACCTTCCCAAACATTTTCAGCTTTTTTGAGTACAACATCAGAAATGCTTCCCTTCAGCTGAGCTGCAGATGAATCCAGGTTCTTCAGAGGAGACAGCCAGATTTTAACAGGAACTGATTTCTCTCCATCTTTTCCAAGAAGCCCTGGAAGGTTTCTGAAGGTTTCTGCTGCTTCTTCAAATGTTGTAGGATTCCTTTCCAGAATGAAATCTCCATAAAATTTACAGGAGACTTTTTCCATTACACTTTTTTCTGCCTCTCTGAGATTTCTGACCATGTTTCCCTTAGGATCCAGCTTTGGGATCTTCTTTATCAAGCTTTGCATGCTTCCCTCCATGCTGAGCAGACTGCTACTGTCTAACCTTTCACTGTCAAACACAAAGAAGGCATTCGCGCCATAAAGGATGCCTGTGACAACATGTGTTGCATGGCTATATTTGATGACATCTCTTGCTTGCAGTTTCTTGGCATCTTGGTGGTTCATGTCCAGTCGTTCATACGCTGTTGTTGCTTTGTAGTGAAGGATGACTCTGCTCTGGTTCCTGAACTCTTTCTTATCATTCAGATAGTTGGCAGATGCTCCAATATCAATTAGACCACTCAGAACACTGGCTGTGAGAGATTCATCAGCCTTTAGCAGGGAAGTCTTGGCTGCTATAGTGTCTGAAGCAATAGTGTCATAATCACTGCTGTTCTGGGTCTTTCTTATGGTGAATTTTTTAATTGTTTCTCTGTCCCACAAGTTGAAGTCTGCAGAAAGTAAGAAAAGTAATTAACTTTCATTATAATATACATTGTGTTTCTCTAGTGTTGAGGGTTTTATTTTAAACAGTTTGTAGAAATTCTATAAAGCCCCCCCCCCCCCCCCCCCCCCCCCACTGAGTTTTATAGGCAAAAACACCACATTTTTAAGAAAATCTATGTCATTAATCACTGCTGACTCTGACAATTTATTACCTCAAGATCTTACTAAAATTTTAAAGTCCTATTACATAAATGAACCAAGTCCTCTCAATTAACAATAAAAACTTGTCTTTACTCTGTAATTGTGTTGCCTTCGAGTGGTCTAGCCTCCTAGAAATGGCGGGCCAATCACAACGCAGAGATGTGTTTTAAATTTTTGGATGCAAAGTGGGCGGGGTTTTGAGGGCATGACGACAAAGCTGGGCGACGCTGCAGAAAGCACAAGGAAGATGGCAACAACTATTGAGGCATGCACTGCGGCAGCAGCAGCTTTCAATGGAGCACTCCATTGAAAGTTAAAAGTTCTACTTTCTGTTGTTCAATAAAAGTACGTTTTAAGATCATTTGAGGCGAGAATATTACACTTTAAAGCGTTACTATATGGTCCATTTACCGATTTAATGCGTAGTTAAAAAAATTATTTCCGAAGTTGAGAGGCCCGCGGCAACCAGCGGACCTCCAAGGATAACGGCAGCCAGGGCTAACTGTGGCCCGTCTGCAGCGGCCCTCATCTCTGCATTGTCGTGTGTGAAGGACCGCTGGCTCAGCTTTAGAATTTGTTTTGGAAGGATTAGACTTGGCGTTTTCTTTGAATAGTGAGCAGGAAGAGGTTCTACGCTCATTCATTTTTAAGAAGGACGTATTCGCCGTTTTACCGACAGGCTGTTTGTTTACACTCCCCCACCAGCTTTTCCGTCACACACACAGTCAGTTGCACTCATTGGTCAGAGCGTTTGCCACAGACATGGTTTCAAAAACAATGCGTTGTTCTCATCAACAGTCTTCCGATGTCTTATTCATTGGGGCCAGACTAAATTACACATTTAATCTCACATTTAGTCTGATTTATCAGGCTAAGTGAAACCACCAAAATTATGGCCAATAAAGTTCTAATAAACTGTTGCCAAAAACTGAACATTTTAATGTCAGTGGTATCTTCTCTGTTCATAACAAAGGGTTTGACATAGTAACTGAATATGTAAAGTATGTCAGACACCACTGATTGAGTCTACTCTCCTTTTCTCTGAAATATGATGGTGGAACATTTTGCGTCTAAGTATGTAGTTAAATTTTAAGAGCAGCAAATCACAATCTTATGTGATACAAATGACAAAAACATCCTTCCCTGTAGGAATAAGCTAAGGAATTAATAAACTCAAAGATATTATGATAATAATTTAATGTTACACTTTGAATTTGGTTAAAAATGACAAACAATGCTCCAGAAGACTTCATCTAGTTCACCAGAAGCTTCAAAGTTCAGCCAAACCAATGGAGAGATATTGATTGGTGTATAAGGAGTTTTCTTCTTATCCCACCTGCTAACAGTTGATCTTGACGAGCGTCATACAGCATTCCTATAGCGAAGGGCCGACCCAGGGCAGGTACGTGCATTTGATCGAAGTCCATCTCATCAACCTGAAAATAGTAGACAAACCTCAAAATACTTTTCGAAATTCTTTATAAAATAGGAATCTCAATAAAACTGTTTGAGATGGGTGTTTTGGTTGAAGTTTCTTCCAATAACTTTTGCTTTGTTGCATTTGGATGTTGAGATTTTTAAAACTAGTTGTTGGTCTCTGAAGCACTGAAGATATAATTGTTACTGGTCAAATATGGACCATTTGGAGCTGCTGTTCATAAGAGAAATATTCTGTATGGTATTACCAGAAACAGAACCAAGCCAGACGAGGAAGCATTTGCTTTTTATGTCCATCACCTTTGGAACAAACTACCTAAAAACCTGAGACATTCTAGAAAGATGTTCCGGTTAACTAAACCAAAAAATTAATTGCTTCTTTTAAGTTTCAACGAATATTTTTCCAGCTAATTTTTATGAAATACAAGTTTTACTGTTATAAATGTGATATATTTTTGCTTTATTGTCATTTTCTTTACCATTTATTAAATAAATGAATGTCTGTTTCATGAGAGCTGAACAATAAACTTGCCTGGCCTTGCCTCAAAACACAATTTGATAATTCACAGATCATACCACAGTCCTTGTTAAAACTTGTCTTTCCTCTCTTGTAGTTACTTACATCACTCACTTCTGCCTGTATTCTGGCACTAATACTGCAACATGTGACTCCACTATCATTTTTAAAGGAACACGTCTATCTCTTATCATCCCCTTCATTTTCAAAGTTCTTGAAGGTATCGTAAGGTAAAATTTACCCTAAACTAATTAGTTTTCAACCTCATTAGGCACCAAATTGTCCTGATAAATATTTTAAAAGCTCTCTTTCTCCTGCTAATTTATGTCTGTTTTCCATTCTAGTCTTTCTTGGTCTGAGTATGAGCTTCAATACATCAGTCATTCAATCCTATTTGAGAGACTATACCCACAGTTTGCATTTCCTGTACCCCTTCAGACTGGTTCAAATTATATATCTTAGGCACCATTTAGTTAATTCAAATTGAGTCTATTTATATTCCGTACTACCCAGTCTCCACAGATGTACGACAAGATTCTGTCCATGCCTTCAATCCCTCTGCTCCTTAACTTTGCTCTTTCATGTCCTGTGACCAACAAAACATCAGTTCTTACACAGTTAAAAAACCCAGTTCATTAGATTAACCTGTACCTTTACATAAGTAAACTGTATTATTATTATTGTTTTTCTCATTTTTAGTACTATTATTATCACTATAGCTTCTTAAAATAATTTTTTCAAGGATAATCCCCATGTGTGTCAATCCACAGAGAAGAAATAAACCCAGTTGATTAACCTGCAGAGTAAGTCAATAAAATTTTCTTGACTATAAATCATTTAAGTTTATTTAGATAGTATAAAATCACATCTCATTTCAAAATACTTTACTAAGTCAATCAAATCATCTCAGCAGATTGGTTCTCAGATATTCAGACATAGATTTCAATGCTTATTTATTTAACCTTCATTTCAGCAGGAAGTCCCTTGAGATAAAATCTATTTTTCGAGGGAGACTTAATGAGCATGAATAGATAGTGGATGGTCAATTGCAATGTGTTGTTGCCTTTACAGCAATCCCTCATACCAAACATGAAAGCAGGATTATTCTAAGGGTAATTTCTCCTAAAACAAGAAAACGATCCAACAAAACCTTGTGCACACAAAACCTGGAAACGAAAGGACTAGAAAACAACAAACGTATTAATATCGCAGCGTCTAAAACAAACAGTTTATACTGTATAGCTATATATTTTTTTCATTTTCAGATAATCTGTGAAGTCAGTTACCATTAGATTGTAGAAATATAACTCAGTAATCACCTTCATCAAGCAGGTTGGTAAAACGTTTTCAGTTTGTGTTTGTTAACTTACCTGACGAAGTTCAGCAGAACTTTTCTGAAGTTTTCTTAGCTTCTGTCAGCCCTAGGCTCTGCATCAGCCCTGGTGTAAATGATCTCCTCCCATCAGCACTCCAATAACCCCCCTCAGAGTCCCGCCCTCGAGTCCATAGCAGCAATGTAGCGAGACATCAACTGAACCAGATGCAGAAGATGAATTTGAGATATGAGTCTTTTAACCATTCAGACAACATTGCTGCTAAGCGTGACCAATTTCAGCACTCAGCAAAGAAAACATGAACTGAAAGCACGACTCAAATGGTCCTTTCACCATATTATTCAATAAAAAAAAATATATATCTATATTCAGTTATTTACAAGTTACAAAAAAGTACAATACCTTACATCTACATTTCAATTAAATTAAATTCAGTTTATTTATATAGCGCCAAATTCACCACACATGTCATCTCAAGGCACTTTACAGTTCAACCAGATCATACAGTCAAATTGATAATTTACATTAACATTTAGAAAGATATCTTGAACTACATACAAAGAAAATTAAAATTATTTTTACAAATCAAATACCAACAGGTTTGTGAAAAGAAAAACAAAATTCACCAGATTTGCAAAATAGCATTTAAGTTAAAAATTTCGTTTTTCAATAACATATGGTAAAAAAGCAATTCAAAATAATGTTTAAACATAAATATTCCCTTTATTAAGTATTTTTCTTACCAATGTCTTATTTGTTGAAAAAAAAAAAGTTCTTTAAAGGTCAAAAAATGTCTGGGAAGAATTGCCTCTCAGTGTGATAGATACCGTATCACTATGTTAATGGTGGTCTACGTAAAATCACTTGGCAAAGTGAGCCTAAAGAAGTGACATGGTATTCTTTAAATGACAAAAGCAGCAAAATATGGTAAGACATATTGAAGATAAAATACAAAGAAGCTATACCTAAAAGATGTAAACAAAATCTAAACCACAATTTAACACCTACAGACCATGACAGATGAGGTTTGTTTGGATTGAGCTTCTTAACCAACATGGAGGAAATATACCAAACACAGTGCATAGAAGTATACTTTTATGTTTACAGGAAAGGTCAGATTCAAAGTTTTTTTTCTTCTTCTGTTTTTATGCAGTTGGGTGTGGTGTTTGTTTGTCTAAATCTTTTCTCAACTGATCGCTGCAAGGCAAACGTAGTGTTGGCAGCAGCCCAGAGAAAATAGGAGCAACTGTTATTCTGTTCCAATTGAGCGTCTCTTTGTTGCAATGACCTGGTATTCCTCCGTCAGCGGCAGGTTTTAAAATTTAGTAAATTTATTCATTCCTTCAAATATAATGCATTCAAACATAAAAAGCTGTAATTGAAGTTGTAACGTAGAATACAACATGCAGGTTCCTTAAACTTGTGTTGAGGACAAAAAAAACAAATTTATAATTATTACATCCTGTTCTTGTCCCTTAAAACGTTAAAAAGATTTTTCTTGCCAACAGAGAGCAGGTAATGCATCTTCCTCCCCTCTGTTTTGTTCTAGGTAATTTCAGGCTGAAACTGATTTAAGACAGTGGATCTGAGCACATCTAGTTTATTAAACTGTATTAAGCACCTTTTGTTGATAATATAGTTTATGAAAGAAAACATGCAACAGCAAGGTTTTACTGACAGCTAACATACCATTCTGTTATGAAATAATATTTCCTGTAGATTATGAATAAATGATTAACTAGAACTGGAGTTGTAGTTAATTATTTAACTTATTCAAAATCAGAGGTAAAATCAATTTGGTGTTCTTGGTTGAATAACTATAGCTCCAATCAGCTCACTTACCAGGATTTTGGGCCTTTCACCTGTTAAAATCATGTTATTCCCACCAATTTAGTCACTTAGGCTAGGCTATCAGCACAGCTATTAATTATCAATCAAAGAGCTATTTGTCTCTGTTTATTCGAACTGTTACTAAAAGGAGTGTGAATCTAGCCTGAATGATAAACCATTTGTGTATAAAGCAGAAACAACTGCAAGTGTCATGAACTGCGGACAGATGGACCCAGTATTCAAGGAGAGACAGTCAGTAGGAAAGTTCAAATGTTTATTAAATAAAACAAAACAAAAGCGGAGCTGTGGCTCGCGGACACTGCAGGCAGGGGGGCGGGCACCGCCCAATCTCAGACACTCTAGGGAGGAAACACAGGTAAGTGACCACGATAAACTGATTTATGATTATCTGGGTTGGTCACTTACCTGGTTTAACAGTCCAGACCACGAGTGTCCCCAGTGCTGCAGTCCCAGTGGTTATGCTGGAAGCTGATCCTGGTCAGGGGTCCAGAACAGACAGGAACAGACAGAAACAGGCAGGATACAGATCAGGCAGGAACAGGTGGCAGGATCCAGACCTCCAGGCATCCACAGGCTTCCAGGAGGGTTCAGAATCTGACTGGGACCAGAAGCATGACCAGGTGGTCACGCACAGGAGCAGACAGGATCAGGTGCAGATGAGCAGGCTCAGTGGAAGAGGGTAGCCGAGACAGGACGTAGGAACCGGAACTTGAAGCAGGACTTTAAACTGGTCTCCTCCTGGAGCCAGGCATACTTAGATAAAAACTGAACCTCCCCCCATAATGAGCCAAAAACCCAGAGGACTCCGCGGGGGAGGAACAGTGGACAATCAGAAGACAAGACAAACACTAAAACCCTCTCTCCACTGGCAGCTAGGATCCAGGACATGAACCAAATAAAACTGAACAGAAAGACTGACAGAAAGACAAGCAGTGATCTGGCCCTGAATGCTCAGGTTGAACTGAATATAAACTAGAGGACACAGGTGAGAGGAAATATATAATTGAGGCAGGGAAGGAAAAACAACAGGTGAAAGGAATGACTAATTAAGGGAGAGCAAACAGGCCAGATCGTGACAGCAAGTTCAAAAAAATGATGTCTTAAATCTAGTAATTTACGATTACAAAAATGTAACATTTATGCAAAACTCTAGATGCTCCTAAATGACTACTTGTAACAGAAAGAGAACAAAATCCTAAGCGTCTGTTTAACTGGCTTCTGATACTGTCCAAGATAAGCCAGATGTTAATACATTCAATAGTGTCAGTTTGGAATAGCAGCAGATATAACGATAACAATTGTGCAGTTAAAACAACAGGGGTTGACGGGGTGTGAGAGCTCTTCGGTCTCAGCTCTGCGTGGGTCCGTCGATTCTCAGAAAAATCTTAGATCATTGGTATACAGCATCAGAGGAATCTGATGGGCTTTTAAATCAAGGAAGTTACTTACAGTATGGCTAACATCCCACAGATCTTTCTGTTTATCTGCAATGGTGTTAAAGTTTTTGGTTGTTTTTTTAAAAAATTTCTTTGTGTAGTAGAGGACTCTTCGGGGTGCTGCTGTTATAATTCAGCTTTGCGCCATTTATTTATTTTTTTTAGTTCTTTTGGAGCCAGGTATATCAATTATAGAAAATCCTTCCCTTTTCCTCATTGATCCAAAACATCTACAGACGTATTAATGTACGCCAAGTGTTTTGCTGCAAAGCAATGGGTTTCTTATGATGCATTTTCTTTTTCAACAAACAGGCTAAAATCTATAAACTGTGCAGTCCATCTATCTCATGTCAGGAAAGGATAGGTTAGGTACACTCCTGAGCAAAATCTTAAGACCAGTCAAAAAATTGCAAGAATTTGCATTTTGCACTATTGGATCTAAAGAAGGTTCTAAGTAGAGCTTTACAATGTTAAAAGAAGAAATCAGTGTAAGAGACAAAAACCTTTGAGCAGGGAATTAATTGAAAACTGCATTTACAATAAAACATGATTTTTTTTCAGCTGATCAAAAGTTTAGGACCATAGCTAAAAAAAAAAACGAAACCCCCCCAAAACAGAAATCAAAGTGTCAAAAAAAGGACTCAGTAATGAGTAGCTCCACCATTCTCGCTGATGACTTCAAACAATCGTTAAGGCATGCTTGATGCCAGTGTTTCCAGGAGGCTAGTGGGAACGTTGCTCCAAGTGTTGAAGATGGCTTCACGAAGGGCATCCACTGTCTGGAACTCATGTCCATTTTTGTAAACTTCCCTTGCTATCCATCCACAAATGTTCTCAATTGGGTTTAGATCCGGGGAACATGCAGGATGGTCCAAAAGAGTGAAGTTATTCTCTTGGAATAACTCCTTTGTCAGGCGGGCATTGTGAACTGCAGCATTGTCCTGTTGAAAAACCCAATCATTACCACACAGGCGAGGGCCCTCAGTCATGAAGGATGCCCGCTGCAACATCTCCACATAGCCAGCTGCTGTTTGATGCCCCTGCACAACCTGAAGCTCCATTGTTCCATTGAAGGAAAATGCACCCCAAATCATGATGACGCCCCTACCACTGTGCCGTGTAGAGAACATCTCAGGTGGGATCTCCTTGTCATGCGAGAAAGCCATCAAGACCATTAAGGTTAAATTTTTTTCTCATCAGAGAACACAACTTTCTTCCACCTTTCCATGTCTCATGTTTGGTGCACCCTTGCAAATTCCAAACGGGCAATTTTTTGGCGTTGAAGAAGGTGTGGCCTTTGAAGACGTTTTTTGCATCTGAAGTCCTTCCCTTACAGATGCCGTCAGATGGTTATTGGGCTGCAGTCAGCACTAGTAATGGCCTTAATTTGGGTAGAGGACCGTCCTGTGTCTTGACGAACAGCCCATCGGATCCTGTGGGCAACATATCACTTTTCCTGTTCCTAAAATCAATTTAAAAAATCTAAAAAAAAAATCTAAAACATCAGGGAAAATGGGCTACATCTGCACCCCCATTCTGGTAGATAGCTGAGGAGCCCTTTTGCTCTGCAGTACAGCAACATTTCTGTAGTTGAGCTAGTCACAGTAGAAGACATGGACTGACTCAAACTCCAAATAACATCGATTCTGATGAACATATACAGTAGCAGCCATTCAAAATGACCCTTCCCAGTCAAACACCAGCCGAATGGCAGCCCACTTCCCTCCAACTCCCAGCAAAATCCCCTTAAACTTCCAGCCACTGGAGTGACCGCCTCTTGCATATTTCTTTACTCTGACTCCACCCTTTTACTGAATTACACGGTCTGACCAGGAAAAGGCTATTCTCTTTAGATCTTAATGTCCACAAATCATGAAAGAAAGAATATTTCAGTACAAATGTTGATGTTTATAAAGGAATTGTAGGGGACCAGCCAAAGAAAGTGGGAACATTTTAAATGGCTACTACTGTACAGTGCTCGCTTTTTATCTATATATTCCAATTTGATAGCTGAGTAAAATATCGCAATATATAGTGACATTGCTATATCATGATAATACTGTATTGTGACCCAAGTATCATTATCATATCACACCATACATGCCAATGTCACTAGGTACAACTGACTGTGAAGTGATCTTAGAGAACAGAATAGATACCAATGTTTGTGTTTTATTGGTGCCTTAAAGACTTACTTTCAGGAATCCAGTTTGTGTGGTCTGTTTTTGTGTTTTCTTTCCTCCTCCACCAGGTGGTGCCCCGTCCTCATTGGGTCTCCCTGCACACTTGCAGCTCATTGCCTCATTACCTGTGGAGTGTTCTTAAGCTGCTGACTGCCACTACCTCGACGCCAGAGTGTTTGCAAATACAGGGTACTCTAGCCATCCTTAGTTTAGCAGAGTCTAACCTGAGTTTTGGTTTGCCAGTTTTGGATCCTCTAGCCAAGCTGAGTTTTTCTGAGTCAAACTGAGTTTTTGTCAACCTGAGTCTTAACTTTGTTTTTGTCTTTGCCTCTCGGCAGGAAGTCATCCTGCAAACTGGATTTGTTCGGTCCTTCTCTCTCTAGAAGGTTCAACTGAGCTGGGGTTCCAAACAGGAGGTCTGGACCCACTTTCCCCAAGAGGTTGTTTGAGCTTCACACCAAGCAAGGGTTTCATCAACACCGCAACCTGTTCAGGTACTGCAGGAAATCTGAGTGGCAGTCAGCTTCTCCGTTCAGTCCAAACAGGAAGTTTGGATCAATTTTCCCCAAGAGGTCGTTTGAGCTTTACACCAAGCAAATATTTCTTCAGCACTACAGCCCGTTCAGGTACTGCAGGAAATCTGAGAGGCAGTCAGCTTCTCCATTCACCAGGGAACAACCGCAGTCTGAGTAACCCAGTCCACCCATCACATAACAAGACAATCTTTGGTACTATCCTCACAGTCCGGATACCTTAAACGACACCTTTCCCTGGAGAAGTGAGTCTGCAATCTTTTCCTTCAATTCTAAAACCTAAGATTCTAATTTCCCACTGAGCCTGAACTAACCACAGTGTCTTCCCCTAACCTTTCAGTCACTATTGAGCAGTGCTCAGAGCAGCACTGGATTCATCACATCATTACTAAATAAACCTGTTTAAACTTTTCCCTGGTCTCTCTGTTTGGTCTTCTGCCTCTTGGGGTCACACCTTATTATAATCATGACACTTGTAAGCTCCAGCTGTTTTTTAATAATGGATCAGGGTAAAGCATATCATCAGCTCTCAGAAATATAGACTTTCAGAATAACATGTGAGAACAGTCAACGGTCAAACCCCAGGTAAAAAAAAAACTGTGAAAAGAGATGGAAAAAACAGGATACTTAAAACCTGCAATGAGAGTACTGGTACCTTATTTTAAAGAGGATATCCTGTTAAGCTAAAACCTCACTGGAAACATACTATATTGTAAGAGAGGCGCTTGGAGAAAACCTAATCTGCAAAATAAACTTCTCACCAAGGGTGGCTCTAAACTTTTCTTTAAATGTGTCTACAGTCATATTTTAAATATAGGCCTATACAATTTTCGTATCAGTTCTCGTTCAAGAGATATTACACAGACTTGTGAAGTTGGGCTTTGTTGTTTTTTTATATAACTTTTCTGTCACAATCAAATGTGGGAAATTGTTTCCATCTGTTGCACAAAGAGACAGAAGAGAAAGATATCTGCAAAGATCTGGATCTAATCACCCTGCATAGTCAGACCCCCTATATACTCACTGCAGTCAGTGTGACATGGAAAAAAATCTGGGATTAAAAACTCGGATGCAACCAGTGTGACCGGGGCTTTATTCTATCTTGACAATGCACTCATGAGAGAATAAAGCACTGGCACAGTAACCATACCTAACTATTAAGATCAACTTCATTTGCTACTTTTTCAGATTTGCTTGACAAAAGAGAAAAGACCACAGTATTCATTTGCAACCAGCAGCACCAGACAGGCAACTCTGTCTTTGGCTCTGTGGCTCATTCAATCAACAGTAAAATATTTTCAACTATTATAAATTTGGTCTATAACTGCCAGTCCTCCCTACTCTGAAATGTTAAACCAGTTCTTCATTCAACGGTTCCAAGATCTCTAAAGCTGCCAAGTATTAATTTGAGCCGAGTTCTCAGGCAATCTAATGAAACTACTGTTGAGAGCATTAAGCTCATTTTCTAACAGCCCAGATTCAAGGCCCACACCCTGTTCCAGTTTGCAAAATATAATTGAATAGCCTAGCAAGGAGCATGTTTTACAACCCATAACCTGTTGTTACCTCTATTTTCAAATGAGCTCTTTTTTTACAAGATAGATAGATTTTTGAGACTCTTGTGCTAGTTTATCTTTCGGGGTTAGGAAACCTTTAACAAACCCCCCATTTATCATGAACATCAAGGTGTATGGTTATTTTTCTTCCAAAAAAAGGTTGTTTATGGTTATGATAGTTTAACCATTTTTTTTAAAATACATTTTTGTTATTTTCTTCACTCAAAATTAAATGCAGGTTTCAAAAAAAGTTTTAGAGATTTATATCCATGCAGTACCCAGTCAGATGTGAATTGTACTTAAAAGGGTTAGGGTTCAAAGGTGATATGTATTTTAAATAAAACGGGACTTTGTGACTATATTGAGAAAGACCCCCACCTCAACCACAGAGCAGTGGTCAACACAACAGTATGAACAGTCAAGGTGGACCCAGAAAACCCCAGCCTGGTAAAGGCTTACAGTGACTTCCTGAGCAGCCTGAGAGCTGGGCTGGATTTCTCCGAGAGTTCACATACTGTTCCTCCAAAAGTGACTGAGCAGCCAGTCCGATTGGGTAACGGTAAAGGGGCGACATCAAATCCTACCGGAAACTGCTGGCTAAGGATAAGCTTAAATACAGTAAGATTTTTATTGACGCTGGCGGTAATGACACTCGGTTATGCTAATCGGAGGTCACTAAATTTAGTGTGTCTTCGGTGTGTAAGTTTGCCAAAACAATGTCGAACTCTGTAATTTTCTCTGGTCCCCTCCCTAATCTGACCAGTGATGACTTGTTTAGCCGCATGTCATCATTCAACCGCTGGTTGTCTGGGTGGTGTCTTGAAAACAACGTCGTCTACATTAATAATTGGCAATCCTTTTGGGGATAGCCTGGTCGGATTCGGAGAGACGGCATCCATCCCACTTTGGATGGTGCAGCTTTTCTTTCAAAGAACCTGGCTGAATTTGTTAGTTCTCCAAAACTCTGACAACCCAGGGTGCAGACCAGGAAGCAGAGTCGTAGTTTAATGCTACGTTCACACCGGACGCAGCAGGGGCGGCAGAAGCAGCAAGTTTACATGCAAAGTCAATGGTTGATGCGCATCAAGGCGCAGCAAAAGGTCCCGCAGCGCGTTTTGAGCAGCAGGTGCAGCGCGTCTGAGCAGCTGAAGCAGCGCATCGGGAGTGTTTAAGCATCTGACGCGCGTGACGCGCCGCAAACGAGCTGCTGCTCCAGAAGGGAAAAATTTTACTTTTGCTGCTTGACGCGCCGCGTCAACCAATCAGAGAAGCTGATCTGGGAGCTGGCTGGGAGACAGACACATCGCTGATGACACAGAGCACTGTGAATACTCCTCTGAAACAGTTTATTGATGCATAAATTAACGTAAAATGCAGAAACCTGCCGGCAGAATATGTTCGCTTTTATTATCCTGGTGCCTGCAGTTTAGATTATTTAGATCAAAAACACCTACCAGCCGCCGCGGTGAACCGCGAGGAGGCGACCCGGCCAGAGGCTGCTGTTAAAGGGATTCCTACTGTCGGCGCACCGCCGATATGTGGGGGTCTGAGCAGCTCCGACAGAAATAATATTGGAAGGCAGGATGATAATCTGGATGAACTGACTGCAATGATTAAGTTTTCAGGTGTATTTTCTCACTTAAAAACATATTAAAACTACTTTTTATTTGGACAATTTTTATTTGGGCTAGGTTGAAACTTAACTGTTTAAATACATTTTGAAAGAAAGCCATGTGAGATGTCAGTATTTGGGCTTTCAATTACTGCAATTAAAACTTGATTCTGAAAAACAGATTGAATGATCAAGAAGTTCACAAAACTAAACTCATGATCCTGATTTATTTTCAATTCAAGATGCAAAGATGATAATCCAGAAAGTTAGAGCTTCTTAGACATTAAAATTATCATCAACAGCTTAACAAGTTGCATCCCACTAGGATTCGGGATAAGAGTCTGTATTGGGAAAAAAAGTATTCAACTATTTACTCTAGTTAAATAAACGGAGATCAATGGATTTCGCTCAGTCAGCATTTTATTTTATCTTTGCAAAGAGAGAACAGTTCATCATACGGCCCTTATTGCTCGGCAATCAGCCCTGTTCTGCCTGGGCCCTTACAAAAAAGCAAATTAGTCAGAGTCAAATTAATTACAGAGACTTTGGTTAAACAGTAATATGTTCTGAATAAACCTTGAGAAAGAATCTGGCTTGTTATGGGAACAAGGTATGCCTTGTCTAAAAACATCCTCACACAGGGGAATTATGTGACCTTGCAGGTGAAACAGGCTCAGTGAAAATTTTACACTAAGTTACAGTGAGTAAATTGCATAAATCAATATATGAAATACGAGAAATCTAATTTTTTCAACCACAAGTCCTAACATCAGAAAGCGTACACATTGCAGAAATTAATACAAGAAAATACACAAAAGAAAAAAAAAAAAAAAAACAGAAAATAGTACACGGTATATATGAAGTTTGAACAAATTTTGGCAATATTGAAAACACCTTTTTGACAACCCTCTTTAAACTTTGCATTTAAGGCTATTTCGCTTACATAAATTATTAAAGGGTCATCATTATATTCTGCAGATGTTTGTCAATTCAACAAAACATTGTTTTCATACAAATTACTTTATGTCCAGATAACTGCTTCTGTTTTAGGATTGCGTAGGGAACCTGGCAAAAATTATAATAATAAACTTAAAAGTCTGTGGAGGTAATATTGTAAATTCAAGTTAATACGCAAAATGATATATGGAGTGAGATAACAGGAGGAAAGGCCCTTGAGACAATTCTCTGAGCCAACCTCAACACTGTGCGTTTTTTATCACTCGTTTCAACAGAGCTTTGGATGTGGGGTTTTTATTGTTTTTTTGTTGTTGTTATTGTTGTTTTTCAACGTTATGTTTGGACTGGAAACAGTAAGCTCTGACAATCCCTTTAGAGAACACACTTACTTAAAATTTGATCTTGAAAGTAAATCTAAAACTGTTTTACAACAGGCAGTGGGATTTCTGGGTTGCTTGCTTTGACCTTTTAACCTTGTGACTTGATCTTGGATGGAAAACTGTAGATATCTAATAAAAGGAGGCCATGTTAATAGAATAGAATAGAATAGAATAAAAAATCCCTCTGATGTCCCATGAAGGGAGATTCTGGTGTTTACAGCAGCAAAAAAGATCATAGAAAAAATTGTCACACAAATGTGGACCTTAAAAAATGTATAAGAAATAACCAAAAAGTGACTTTGGCTAGATTTAAGTCACACAAAATATCATAATATCTCTAACCCGTCTAAAGCTCCATTTAGTGGGTTAAGAAGAGCTCAAAGATATTTATCTTTATATTCATCATCTGGTTATGACCTTTGTTTGTTTTTTACCTTCTTTAGTGTAAACACATCACATTCATATAAATTAATATAGTTCCCCTTAAACTGTGCAGAACACAGCAAAATTGGATGTGTCATAGATGTAGAAACCTGGGTAAAGTGCTTCAGTGAATCGGTTCTCAAAAGTGTACAGGTGGTTTAAGGTGTCAGAGGAGACTTGGTAGAAGGACAAAGTGCCAGACTGCCAATCCAAATACACCCCAATTTTGTTACACCCAGCGGGAAGTGTAGCTTGCCATTTTTTACTATTACTGTGCCATGCACGGAGTACATCACCATTGACACCAAAATACCAGGAGACATTGTTGTACCCAAATCCAGTGTATCTACCACTTCCTTTTCTTGGAATGCTTTCATATGCAAGACCTACACCAAGCTCTTTAGTATTTTCACTGCTCCAGATTACTTCAAAGTAATGACAGCCTGTAAGACGTTCCCTGCAGAGAACTTGGGGATACGAATCAAATCTCTTCTCTGTTTTAGAATACTTTTCTCGTGGTCCACATGTGGCCTTTTTGTCTCCTGCAGAGAGAGTGAGGTGGCCATTCACAGTTTCTGGGTCCAAAGTGAGATCACAAGAGTCTGTTGTATAAAAAGAAACATAATTAAACATTTTATCACAGGGACTCAACTTTCACAAAAGATCTAATTCATTCTTTATTTAAAAGTTTTGAAAGAATTTGCTTGCCAGTCAAAAGAAAACCCTTAAAATTGTGGTCTAATCAAAGGGGCCATTGTTGTTGCCTCTCATTGTTGGTTTATTCAACAAAAGGTATCTTTCAGGATAATTCAATTACATTACAAGAACCGATGCAGTATAGTCCAGGTCTTCCAATTACTTTTAAAAAGCAAAGTCAAAAGGGGTCAGCTGTGAATTGAGATGGTGCCCTTGCCCTTACCAGAGTTTAACTTGGGTCTTTTAGTAACCATGACAGCGTAGGGCATAGATCTGTGAAGCCAATAGAGCCTAAATCATTTCTTTAAATCCTAAATTAAATGTGCCATTATCATTTTCTGCTGTGTCATTACAGAAATAAAAAAAGTTGTGCAACATATGAAAGAGGTTAATGTAAAAGCTGTAACTGCATAACTATCTAGATGAAGATAAGAGTTCTGTTTAAACATTTTAAAAATCAAAGCATAAAATTCTATTTTCAAAGAGCTAAGGAAAAGCAATGATCTGCTGTAATATTAAAAAATATATGCTTCGCTGCAATATTTAACAATTTGTATTTGTGTAGATGGTATTTGTTTAGAACTATCAGATTTATGGCCACCAAATCCAATTTTGAATCCACAGTATGTAGAGCAAATTTATTTATTTATTTATTTTTTTCAATGCCTTTGTAAATTCTCAGATGTACAGGTGATGGAATATATATATATTTAAATCGAAGGCACCAGACTTTCGCTCAGTTTTTCTGAGGACGTGTTGACACCTATCAAGGAGTCATTGTCATTTCTGTCAGCTTATATTAGAGCTATATGTAGTCGGAACACTGATGTTTTACACAAAAGGAAGGTCCATCCTAAGCACATTCAAGTCGGGTACTAATCAGACATCCCCGTCATTATCCTGTGTTTTTGAAGTCTTTTGTTGCGTTTGTAAAGTTTGGTTTCTCAATACAGGATATAGAGCAGTCCTTGCTTGACTGGAGTCATAAAAAAGCCTATCAGCTTCGGTTTAGGTGTTCTGTGTCTGTGATAAAGTAGTATTTGTCTGAGTGTGTTGTAGTATTTGAAGTTCACTGATATGTTAGCCTGGGTGCCATTCCGAACTTAGTCCCGCCCACAACGTTTGAGGTCGGGAAGTTCGGTCTGGCATTGCTCAATAGTAGCGCGAGTATGCTAGCACAATATCTGGCGGGCCAATCAAATTGTCAGGGCGGGCTTTATACCATGATGGACAGATGATCAACAGTAACGTAATCAACCACGTCACCAAAGCGCGCTTGGGTGACAACAACAATGGCTGCCGCTGGAGAGTTGAGGTGTGTAGATTCTGCTATTAGATCTGTTCTAGAAGATATCGACAGCAAATTAATTTTAAAAGAGGAACAGAAAAACGCGAAAAAGAAAGATGTTTTTGGCGTCCTTCCTACGGGATTCGGCAAAAGTTTAATTTATCAGCTGGCTCCCTTGGTTGCTTAACATACAGCACGCACTCCGTTGCTCTTATTGGTTGTAGGTCTATCCAATTGAGTGCAATTTCCTGGTTCGTTCGAAACACGCCCCATAATTACAACTCTATGGAGCAGTATCAGACTCATATTCTGACTAGAATTGAGTAGGACTACGTCAGCCTACTGATATGTTATAATTACAAGAAATCCTTCTGAGATTCTCAGAAATTCCAGACACATATCGAAATACAATGTTTTTGCATCTCTTTGTGTTTTCCTGTGTTAGAAGCAGTCTTGTTCTTCCTGATAGTTTTTTTTTTTTTTTTTTTGAGAAATATCCAGTTAGACTAATCAGATTCTTTAGTGATTTTCTAACATGTCAGAGTTCTTTTCATTTCTATTTTGCAGTTGTTGGAATATTGTCAGCCTGGTAATTCAGAGTTCTGATAATAGAAGATTTGTGTTCAGTGGGTGATGTGAGTGAAAAATATAAATATATAATGTAAATATTGGTCTATATCCATAGGTTTTAAGTAAAACTTAGAATTAAGATTCCCATTGCCACAGATACACATTAAAAGACTTACCTGGAGTATGATTGCACTTTGCACCTGACTGGAGATGTGCTTAGGAATATGTAACTCTATGTCTAATATTGGTGCTGTCACTGTAGGTTGCGCTAGTGCAAGTGACAGAATTAACTAAGTCTGTTGGACTTTGTCAATTTTATAAAATTTGCAACCATGCTTAGGGGTAGTGTTGACTTAGTGAGGGAGAGTTTTGGCCTGAGAAGGTTGCAAGTACCCGGTCCAACCCCACAGCCTGCATTCTGGGTTTCTGCCCAAGACCATTAACCACACACTGATACCGGGTGACACACGATGGCTGCCCACTGCTCCCCAAGGGGATGGGTTAAATGTAGAGGTAAATTTCTCCAGTCCTACCCTTAAAGTTTGGCAAAAGAGTGACACATTTGTTGGGCCCTAAGAAGTCTAAGAAGGATTTGTTGAATGGGACAACCTCTGTCGAGACTTTTTAAGTAATGAAATGTAACCTTTGCTGGTTGCAGCGGCTGAATTTGGATGCATCGCTGGACTACATTTCATCATACAGACTACATTTAAATGAAGTTTCTTTAAAATCAAAACAAAACATTTCGACTTACACCACATTAGATCTTGTTTATCCGTTACATTTCTCACTCGATGAATGGCAGGTTTTGTAAAGTCTTTGGTTTTCAGCACTCCTTTCCTGTAATGGTAGATAGTTGCTCCTGTGAACTCCTCATTTGGCAGTGCTGCTACAAGAAAATGAAATCTGCTGCTACTCCTAAGGCCTTTAGCTGTTTCCGAAATCATGTTTGCGTTCTCTTTGATGTTTTCTAAGACCTCATCTGAGAAGAACCACTGGTCTTTGGCAGGTAGAGTAACAAAGTTTGGAGTTTCTTTAAAATAACTGGCCATCTGGTCCATGTAGGCGTCACTCATTTCAATCGAGGTAAAAACAAAGCAGAGGGCGTTTTCTACACTCAAGACTTCTCTATCCAAGTCTGACTTCTCTGGGATGATCTTGATTCCCTTCATTATGTTCAAACAGGAGGCAATGACGTTGATTTCTCTGTCTAAATTATCAAGCCACATGTTTAAGTTTTTCTTGCTGAATGGAGAGTTTTCCTGCTCATCTAGGAAGTTTTCTAATGATTCCTCTTCTTCCTCTTCCCCTTCACGAATAAGGGGAATTTTCTCCTGCATGGTCTGTTGGATGGTTTTCATGTAATCTGCACAGAGATCCTGGAAAGATTTTAACTTATTGTGTAATTGTGGAAAAGTCTTCACTACGTCTCCTTCCAGTGATTCATTGCATCGCATTTGTATTTCTCTAATACCTTCCCAAACATTTTCAGCTTTTCTGAGTACAACATCAGAAATGCTTCCCTTCAGCTGAGCTGCAGCAGAATCCAGGTTCTTCAGAGGAGACAGCCAGATTTTAACAGGAACAGATTTCTCTCCATCTTTTCCAAGAAGCCCTGGAAGGTTTCTGTAGGTATCTGCTGCTTCTTCAAATGTTGTAGGATTCCTTTCCAGAATGAAATCTCCATAAAATTTACAGGAGACTTTTTCCATGACATTTGTTTCTGCCTCTTTGAGATTTCTGACCATGTTTCCTTCAGGATCCAGCTTTGGGATCTTCTTTATCAAGCTTTGCATGCTTCCCTCCATGCTGAGCAGACTGCTACTGTCTAACCTTTCACTGTCAAACACAAAGAAGGCATTCGCGCCATAAAGGATGCCTGTGACAACATGTGTTGCATGGCTATATTTGATGACATCTCTTGCTTGCAGTTTCTTGGCATCTTGGTGGTTCATGTCCAGTCGTTCATACGCTGTTGTTGCTTTGTAGTGAAGGATGACTCTGCTCTGGTTCTTGTACTCTTTCTTATCATTCAGATAGTTGGCAGATGCTCCAATATCAATTAGACCACTCAGAACACTGGCTGTGAGAGATTCATCAGCCTTTAGCAGGGAAGTCTTGGCTGCAATAGTGTCTGAAGCAATAGTTTCATAATGACTGCTGTTCTGGGTCTTTCTTGTTGTGAATTTTTTTATAGTTTCTCTGTCCCACAGGGTGAAGTCTGTAGAAAAAAATACAAATCTGTTATAGTTTTAAAAAAAATCTAAACAACAGAGCAACTGCTGTCTTATTTTTAAAGGTTGGGTTTCTTGAGGAAAAAACTGAGTTAAAACAGTTGAATTTACCATCGCTGTTTACACCAAACATCATCATCACATATAGTTTGAACACAGGATTGTCTTCTTACCGTAATCTAGTGATGGGTCGGGCAACACCGATGCGTCGGCGCATGTGTCGGTCTCATAGAGCGAAACCTGTGTCGACGTGTGTATCGCTACGGGAAAGTCACGTGACCGAAACAGTTTCTGTATCGGTCACGTGACCGCTGTTTCGAACTGATTGACAAGCCTTTATAAGGAAGCGCATCTGCCAACGAGATGCATCTGCCAAAACAATCTTGCGTGTTTTGCAAATATAAAATTCATCAAAAATTATGGAGCTTCCTCAAACAAAAAGAAAGGTTTCTGCCGTGTGGGACCACTTTGATGTCATTTCGGAAAATAAGGTATTTGTTTTAATTTCCTTGTTTCATCCTGTTCCTCTCAGAGTTTCCACTTAATTTTCTGAGTAGAAATTAATTTCAAAGTGACCTTTAGTTTACTGTTCGTGTTATTTTCTGTAGGTTAAACGTCGCAATTGCTCAACAGAGCTTGCATATTTAAATAACAGCACCTCCTCAATGCTGAGGCATTATAGGGCCAAGCATGAGAGTGAAATCCATGATACACCCATGATGAATTCAGGTATACAGGTATTTTACAACTTACTGACTTTGTTTTATTGATAATTCTGAATAATTTACACTTTCTCATTTTACACCATCAAGCTTCCAGGAAGCAGATGCTTGATGAGGCTGTGCTTAATTTCATTGTAAAGGACTGCCAGCCCCTCGCTGTTATGGAGAATGAAGGGTTCAGGGAGCTGGTTCAGCTCCTTGAGCCCTCATATGTTTTGCCAACCAGAAAGGTTTGTGTGGAAATTATCTAAAGTGGTAGTTTATTCATCAAATTTATTTTAAATATATTGATTTTCTTCTGGTTTGACTTGGTGTGGTTTTCAGACCATCAAACAACTGTTGGCCAAAAAGTACGAGGAGGAACGGGAACGAGTGAAAATGGAAGTACAGCAGGCTGCGGACAGAATGTGCCTCAATTGGAAGCTCAAATGAGCCCCAGCCGGGAACATCTTCACAACAGCTGTCTGCCCCCACTTCAGGCATGATATTGAGCATAATTTTTTTGTTGTTTGTAAATCATGTACTAAAATACTATTTTATTTATTTTTTTAAGATGACCTTTGGGAAAATTTTGATCTCGAAGTGGAGAGGCAGACCAAAAGTGCCACAGCTGATGCCATCCTTGAGGTGCAGAGATACATGGCAGAGGGCAATATTGCGAGGTCCCAGGATCCTCTTGTATATTGGAAAAACCAAAGGACGGTTTATCCAAACCTCTTCCGCCTGGCCATAAAATTTTTGTGCACTCCAGCTTCATCTGTGCCGTGTGAGCGGGTGTTTTCCACAGCTGGAGAACTAATATCAAAAAAGCGCAACAGACTGAATTTCAAAACGTTGCAACAACTTTTTTTTTTGAATAAAAATTTGTAAAAAAAAATACCAGTGAACAAGCATCTTCATTTACTACATGTTTACTTAGAGATTATTACATTATGATGCAGGTTCTCATTATTCATTGACTGTGTCTAAAATATCAAATATGTTTTAATAATAATACAATGCAACATTCAATGAATTGCATCATATTAGTGTATATAATTGGTCATCAAATCAGTGTCAGTTAACTCTGTCAGCTAGGTTGCCTGTAGGGATTTTTAATGTCCAGCAGGTGTCAGTATTCAGTGACACAGTATCGACACTGTATCAATACAGTTTGGTAATGTGTCGAAACGTTTCATGACGCCTAATCAACCCATCACTACCGTAATCATCTATGTTAAAAAATAAAAAATATAACTGACCAAGCTCTGTTATAAAAACAACACTGTAGGTACGTCATGGCCCTTCTGTCCATAACAATGGATTTAGCTGTTGGGGTCTCTGGGGTTTTGCTTATTTTCTGGTGTGAGTGAGCTTTCTGTCACAGAGAGGATATTTGCTTGGCCAACCCTTGTTGCCACACACCTGACAACAATTCTCAATCAAGACCAAAGCGAAGGATCATCTGTCTTTGCTTAGTGATTACCTCTCATGGTATTCAGCCAAATACCTCAACCAGGAATATCTTAGTTGTTGGAATTTATCTTCTTGTGAATATCTTTGTTCCAGACAACCAGCAAACCTTAATCTGTTGTGTATTAATCTGCACTAATCATAAGATAAAATAAAGTTAATGTTTTATAAGTTTAAAGTTGTTTTCACAAATACTGTTATAAGAACCATTCAAGGCCAAGAGGAGAAAAACAGAGCAATGAGTGTGTGCAACTGTTGCACCTGGCCCTAGAGGAGTGGAATCTGCAGGAAAACGCAGGGTTGAGGCCCCTTAGTGATAAGAAAGCACACTCATTAAAAATGAAATATTTGACATATCAAGGTTGCCCAGCTCAGCAAAATTTGGCCATACAACTTGTGATAAATAGAGTTGTTATTTTCAAGGCACACTGTGCAGTACTGGTCCCAGAAAGGGTGATGCTTTGACTGGGACACAAGGGGGAACACTAGGCCAGACTGACATGGCTTGAAGTAGGGAAAGGATTAGTTTCAACATGTTTGTGATTGAACTGTCATAAGTTTCTGATTTAAGTGCACCAGATGTCTTCATGGCCTGAGAGACTGCTCTCACAAGAATGTGATGTGTCTATGAATGTCATCGTGATTTGCAGATAAATGTTAATGTGACCTTTACCAAAGACTGTTGATTAAATATATAAAAAATATGTTCTGAAGGGGGTTTTCCACTGATAAGAAATGTATAAAAGGGAGCTGTTTTCACCATTTGTTCAGCTGATGCTCACCGGTGACCAGCTCCGTGTGAATGTGCTGTTTTTGGCAATAAAAACCCTGGACTTGGACTCAGCTGCCTCTGCCTGAATTTTTGGATTTTTGTTTGAGACTTTTTCTGCTTTTTAAGAACTTCGAATTTTACAAAACTTAGCTTCAATTTTAAGTCGTCAAGAAGACAATAATAGACGACAAATCCTTCTCCAGTCTTTATGGAAACGGTCTTACCTGTGTGAAACAGTTCTCAGTCTTCATCACCTACCTGCCTGCACTCCAACATGTCATCTCTTGCAAGTACCAATGCTCTCTTGGACTTCTAAGGTATGGTCTGCAAAGCATGCTTAATCAAACCCTACAGATCCATGTTATTTCCCCTTCATCTCCGAAGTAAGAAGATCAATAATTCAGCAGTTGTTATCAACCAAGTCCTTCTTTCAACAGTCTGCTCTCTAGTCTCAGACCAAACAGAAAGTGACTTCCTGCATTTCTCTGCTTGCTGCTTTGTATATAAATAGTTCTCTGTGTGATTCGGCATTTGGGGTCAAAAAACTATGCTATTCTTGATAGAGAAGTTTTTTTTGTGAAATGAAAAAAATACTTGAGAAATATTAGTTATTTACAAATGTTGCAAATATTTTATCTATTCTACCAACTCTTCATTTCTTGGAAGCATCAGGATCCACAACAAGTGAATAACTAAAATACTAAAGGCCAGAATCAAGTTTCAACCATTTTATTAAAATATAAGATTAATCAAGTTACAATAATAAACTCTTGCAGTTCCTGTTCTTTTTTTACTCAGAATGTCAGTACTCCTGGCTCCGTCATTCCAAGCTCTCTGTTCCTGATCAAAGTCTGTCCCTTCTCAGTCTTCCTCCTCGTTGCTCATGCAAAGGTCTGCTTATTATTGAACTCTGGAATTTTAGCACCGCCACCCAAGTTTGCCAATGTCGCAGGAGTTTCTTTATCTGTTCTCCTAGATCCCAGATCCTCCACACAAAGCTGGACTCACATGCTGCAGATTTACCCCTTCCGCCATAGAGATAACTAGATAACTAGATCAAGATAACTATCCATAAACTGTGATCTGCTCAGCTCCTCCATCCATGCCTAACTGTGATCTCCTCTTCAGATTCCCCAGGCCACTAGCCCTCTTAAACCCTTGTTGTTATCATTTCTCTTTGTGTTTTCTAATAAACCCATTTAAACCCTCTCAGTCATGTCCATAGTTGCCGCTCGCTTTAGAGCAGGGGTGTCAAACTGGCTCCAGAAAGGGCCGTGTGGCTGCAGGTTTTCTTTCCAACCAAGCAATAGCACACCAGAGTCCATTAATCTCATCAAGTGAGTCCAATCTGAACATGATGAAATGAATGGAGTCTGGTGCTACTGCCTGGTTGGAAAGAACACCTGCAGCCACACGGCCCTTTCTGGAACCAGTTTGACACCCCTGCTGTAGAGTCTAAACACCTGATGTTGCTGTGGTTCCTCATGGCGTCACCTGCTTGAGATGCTTTTCGTATACTACCATGATTGGCAAAAAAAACACTTTGGTAGAAGGGCACTAGGTGTTGCTTCATTCAATCAGCTGCAAATGTTCTGCTAAAAATTCATCCTTTCCATGAACATAATCAATTGGAGCTGTTCCTCTTTAATGAGGTGTAGAACTAATCCTGAGTGTTACATGTTATCAATCTTGCTTGCCAGGTTACTCCCTGAACAAGCTACTGGTGTGGTACCACTTTAAAGCTTTCCTTCATAGTTCTGGTCACCATCAATAGCCAAGGCCATAGGCTAAATTGGCTAAATGTCCTACTTTATTTTAATGACGTCCCAAATCCCCAAAAGAGGAGGAGCATGCCCCATACTTTAAGAAGCCCTGCTTTACAGAGTAATAAAGTAACGTTCCACTTTAACATTGGTTAAAGACATATAATGCTCCAAAAGACATGAAATAGTCCACAGAAGCCTCACAGTTCAACCTATTATAGAGTTTTATGATAAATATGAGATGTCTCCTACCTGTGATCAGTTGATCTAGTCGAGCATCATACAGCATCCCTAATGCGAAAGGTCGACCCAGGGCAGCGACATGGATTTGTTCTGAGTCCATGTCTTTAATCTGAAAGGATACATGCACTAATCAAACATTAAAACAAATAGAGCAGAAATATCTTTATGAAAATATAGACTTAGATTCAATATTCAGATTTGACATATATATTTGATTCATATTATCTACACATTTCCAGCAATGGGGGAGACCTACTCCTCTGGACCAGTTTGGGATTTTCCCATTATGATTAGACTTAATTATAATCAAACTTGCCCAGTTGTGCCTTATACACACACTCATATATTCATGTGTGTCAAAACTCAGAAAGGAAGAGGAACCAAAATGTTAACAAAGCTATCTAAACAGAGGGATAGAAAAAAAAAACAAAAAAAAAATAACAAATAACATAACTACCAACCGCTGCTCCCCTGCTGCAGAGCCTTGCCTCCACAGTTCCCCCCCTACTTTTATGTCTTAAAATACTAGCAATCATAGGGTTGCCCTTAAAACCTTTTAATTTAACATTAAAATTTTACAAAAATATATATACTATTCAATTCAATTCAGTTTATTTATATAGCGCCAAATTCACAACACATGTCATCTCAAGGCACTTTACAGTTCAACCAGATCATCCAGTCAAATTGATACAAAGTTTTCTATCTAAGGAAAACCAGTTGATTGCATCGACTCATTGACTCAAATACAATCCCTCACACTAAGCATGCTTGTAGCGACAGTGGAGAGGAAAAACTCCCTTTTAACAGGAAGAAACCTCCAGCAGAACCAGGCTCAGTGTGAGCGGCCATCTGCTCAGGCCGACTGGGGTTCAAGGAGACAGAAGCAGAGACACAAAAAGCAACTGTAAAAGTCGGCCCTGTCCAGGAAACACACAGCCAGGCAGACGAGCTATTTACCATAATATACATTTTTATCTTTAATAATATAAAAAAAACTTGAATTTTAAACTGGCTGCCATTGGAAGAAGATTTCTAAATAACTCTGCTTGTATGACTTGGTTGAATGGGATTAATTATTTCTGGCTTTTTGTTGTTATGTATTTCATGCTATAATAAGTGGCAACTAAAGGTTTTCTTTTCCATATATAAAAATATCTACTCTGTGTCAGCTTGACCTCCAATGTCATGCTAGGTTCAAATAAGCTTGTGTACAAATGGCAAACTTATTCTAAAATAAAAATTAACTCTGTTTTTGTTGTGAGCATCTTTGCTTAAATAAAGCCTTTTTGTTATTCAGTAAAGTTCATTACTGCTGATGAAGTAGTCAAACATCTTACTTATGTAGGAGCAGCAGAGATGGGAAGTAACGAAGTACAAATACTTCGTTACTGTACTCAAGTAGATTTTTCTGATATTTTTACTTTACTTTACTACTTATTTTTATGGCGACTTTTTACTTCTACTCCTTACATTTTTACACAAATATCTGTACTTTCTACTCCTTACATTTTAAAAAATTGGCTTGTTACTTTAGTTTTGAATCATTTCAATGGAGTTACCGTTATTATTTTTCACGTCATCAATACCAAATTCAATCTAATTGGATGGGAATCTACGTTGCATTTGACGCACCACTACAAGATGAATCGACAGATTCGGCGGTATTCATTCGCGGCAAATCATTGCAGCTTGGTGGCGGTGGCGTTAGCATAGTAGCATGGACGACGAGATGATTGAAAATGAACACAACGGAGATCTAGTCCTATTGGCAGACATCCATTTAAAATGTAGGCAACGGCATGAAAAAAGTGGTTTCTACTTTTACTTTTATACTTTAAGTAAATTTACAAGCCTGTACTTTGTTACTTTTACTTGAGTAAAGAAGTTTAATCAGTACTTCCACTTTTACCAGAGTATTTTTTAACACAAGTATCTGTACTTTTACTCAAGTACGGAAAGTGAGTACTTTTGCCATCTCTGAGGAGCAGTGATATTTTCTAAAGATATTAGTATTTAGATTAGGAAATTTCTTATGTGCTCTTGCTCTTCCAGTGTAAAATTAACTAGATCCACGACCGTCCAGTGTACCGGTATATAAAAATATAATCAATCAAGTTCAGATACAAAGTGAACTTAATTACAATTAAAACTTCGAGATAAAGCATCATTGTCAAGTTCATCATGTAAGCTGGTAAAATTTGTCTAAAAGTTTGTTTTGTTACCCGATGAAGGTGTGTTGTTCAACTGAGTAGTCTTGAAGTCTTCTTGCTTTCTGTATCATTAGGCTCCACAGCAAGCTTAGTCTCAATAAATCTTGTCTCGCCACGGCACATATAACCCCCCTTAAAGCTCCTCCCTTCAACTTTCAGATGAGCTGCAGAAGCAGCTCAACTAGAGATGAAACATGGATAAACTTGGTCCCTCAATGAACCATCTACGCTCCCAGGTGCGTCAAAAGATGAAATCTGACACAGGAGTCCTCCAACTATGCAGAAAACATTGCTGACGTATGTAACCAGACAGTCTTTAGGTCTTGGAATGTGAACTCACGTGTCAATGCGTGCTCAAAAACATGCTCTGAAAAGACCAAACAAATGCATGTTTTCTACAGAAAGAACAGATGAGAGCAAAGCAACTTCCTTGTTGGAGGACTGGATGCCAGACCAGATATAATCTCCAAGATTACGAGAACAAAAAAACCAAAAATTCCCAAAATGCAAAAATAAAAAAAAGTTATTCATCAGACAGAGAACATGTCAAAACTTTAGTTTAAAAGTTCCCCAAAGTTTCTAATTCCAAAGAAAGTGTCTCCATAATGTTTAAATCCCCTTGTTCATTAAGAAGTTTTAAATAACTGGGTGTAAAAGAGCATTTAAAGTGGGAAATTCAGGGGGTAATGGATTAATGTGAAAAGCTAAAACACAGTTAAATCCAGGACAGTCTGTGTCATATAACAGAGGTTTAGGGAGGTGAAAAGCATTGATCGAGCTGTGGAACATGCAATTCAGTCTGTCTTATTATTGCTTTTAGCAGTAAATGTAATCCATTAAAGCCAATTGTTGCTTTCTGTAAAAAACAGTTTCAGCCTTCATCATTAAATCTGATGAAGAAAGGTTCAAATAGGTTACCTACGGTGGCCCTGAAGTGCAAACTGCAACTACAAATCTAAAAGCGCAACATTAAGGAAATCGCAACTACATAAAACAAAGCGCAACTACATTAAGAAAAACAAAACTACATAAAGCAAAGCGCATCTACATTAAGAAAATGTAGTTGCACAGCCAATTGGCAGCCAATTTAATATTCTACATTAAGGAAATCGCAACTACATAAAGCTTTGTTTTATGTAGTTTTGTTTTTCTTAATGTAGTTGTGCTTTTAGATTTGTAGTTGCAGTTTGCACTTCAGGGCCACCGTAGTTACCAGTGGGTCAAGTGTGTCTGGAGATGGAAGAAAGCTATCTATGGCGTCATCAGGAACAAGATCTAAGATTGGAGCTGCATCTACAAATTTTATTTAAAAAAACTCACTTTGTGTCCTTACCAAGAACATTTGCACCTAAAGTGAAAATGAACCAAATTCTTATAGTCAGCCTTCGACCATGGATTATTCCACATGTTTTTAACAATGAACACTAGAGGATTCCTTCCTCGTTTGTAACTTTCTTTGGTTAGCGTAGCTCTGACTAAACTAATCTGATTTCTTAAACCTGAACATAACCTCTGGGATTACAATTCCAGTAGAAAGAAGACCAATCTGGACACCATGATTCAGATGCAGCTTTACCATGAGTGAAAATACAGAAACAAACCTCAGCATTTCTATATAACTCATCAAACCCCTTACATGGAAACACTTCACACAGGTTGTATTCAGCTATTCAGTGTTGTTTCTGGGAACCAGTCTGATTACCTAGTCTGCTCCTGCTATTGTACTGTACTGTATGTTGGTTCACTCTGCTTTGGAAGTAACATCTCTTTTACCTTGTTTAGAGACATTCAGAGGGCACAGTAGCAATGACATCATCAGCAGCTGTATCGTGTTGAGCTCTTATCATATCATCAGTTACCTTTCTTTCCTCAAAGGTAAAAATGGTCAACAAACATCCCCAAGAACAGAACACATGGATTCATCTGTACTTGTCCTGTTAGATCTCATTTCTCCATTTTATTCACTTGATCATAATATTATTTTATAAAAGCTTAAACATTGTGTAGAAATTAAAGCATGTCTTGAAGACACACAAATTTGGATGAGTTTCTGAAGAAGTTGATTAGTAAGTGACCTTATTTCGATGGGACTAAATTAGTCTCAGATAATAAAGTAAAAAAATCTTGGTGTAAATATCCTTATTTTATCTCCAAAATATTGCAAACATTAGAAATATCTTGTCCAGGGTGGATGCTGAAACTAATCAAAAAGAGAAATTCATTACTATTTTCTACTGGAAGCTACTGGACTGCATCACAGATATAAAACAGTGGCTGTCACAGAACTTTTTGCACTTAAACGACAGCAAAACCAAATGCATTTTGTTTGGTTTTCCATCAATTTCAAATGTTCTAAACACAAACTCCAGCAATCTAGCCCCCCTTTTCAAATCTCATGTCAAAAATCTTGGAGTAACATTTGATAATGGGCTCAAATTTGACAAACAGATTAGCTCCGTTGTCAGCTCATGCTTTTTCCAGCTCCGTCTTTTGGCCAAAGTCAAGTCCTTTCTCAGTCGGCAGGATCTTGGGAAGGCAAGCTATGCTTTTATTAGTTCAAGACTGGACTACTGCAATGCCCTTTACGTTGGCCTCAGTCAGTCATCAATTTCTCGTCTCAAACTTGTGCAGAACGATCGTTCTTTTGCCGTCGCTGCTCCCAGCCTGTGGAACAAACTACCCCCTGACATCCGCACCACTACTGACCTCAGCCTTTTTTTTAAAAAAGCTTAAAACCCACTTTTTTAAATTAGTGTTTAATTCTGAGTAGGATAATACTGTCTCTTAGATGTCATCTTTCTGTGTGCTCCTTTCTATGCAGCTCTGGAAGGCTTCTAATGTCCTGCAGCGCTGCACCACTACAGCACTTTTAATTGTATCTGTATGTTTTGTATGTGT